CACACACTTTTGTTGCACCAGATTTGGACTTCTGAATCTCTCTTTTTGGTGTTTCATCTCTTGCACAATACAGTAGCTTTGATGAAAAGATGGTATGTCAAAAGATCTTGGAAAAGATGGGGCTCAGTGGATTTCAGGTTATTAAATTTTTATTTACTTTTGGTTTATAAAGAACAATCCCTTCTTTTTGTATAACACTAGGATTGTTTTATACAGATTGGTAAAACAAAGGTGTTCTTGAGGGCTGGACAGATGGCAGAACTAGATGCAAGGAGAGCTGAGGTCCTTGGCAGTGCAGCAGCAATTATTCAAAGGCGGATACGAACTCATATTGCTCATCGCCAGATCAACGCATTGCGAAATTCTTCAATCTTTTTACAAGCTTTCTGTAGACGTGAGCCTCACATCACATGATCAAAACTCTCAGATTCTTCAACTTGTTTCTTCAAACTATAAACACACAAGACGACACATTATTAATAAGTAATAACTGTTTACACTTTTAGGTAGTCTGGCTTGCAGAAAGTTTGATCAACTGAAGAGAATTGCAGCTGCTATAAAAATTGAAAAACATGTGCGTAAATGGCGTGCTTGGGTGGCATATACTAGGCTCCGTGTGTCAGTGCTTGCAGTTCAGACATGTGTACGTGCAGTTGAGGCGCGTAAAAGATTCCGATTCCGGAAGGAAACTAATGCTGCTATCAAAATTCAGGTTAGTTTTATAAAAAACTCTTTTTTTTTTTTTATTGTTATACAAACAGAGGAATTTTAATCGTGTTATTTATAGACTCGGTGGCGTTGTCATAAACATTCTGCATACTATAAAAGGCTAAAGAAAGGATCTTTAGTTACTCAATGTAGATGGAGGGGAAGGATTGCTAGGAGAGAGCTACGAAAACTTAAAATGGTCAGTTTTTTTTTTTTATTTACTTTCTTTTCAGGGCAGATTAAAAGTTGCTAGCTTTATCTGTTTTGCAGGCTGCACAAGAAACAGGTGCACTTAAAGAAGCAAAAGATAAGCTTGAGAAACAATTGGAGGAACTAACATGGCGTTTACAGCTTGAGAAACGTTTAAGGGTAATTTATTTCAACTATACAAGTTTTGTAGGAAAAGTTTGTAATTGTAATCTGATATGTCCTACATGTCTAGACTGATTTGGAAGAAGCAAAAGCACAAGAGGCCCTGAAATTCCAAAATTCTCTAGAAGCTATGCAAAAGAAACTTGATGAAGCAAATGCATTGGCTGTAAAGGAAAGAGAGGCAGCTAAAAAAGCTATTGATGAAGCACCTGCGGTTGTTGAAGAAAAAGAGATTGTTATTGAAGATACTAAGAAAATTGAATCCTTGACTGCTGAGGTGGATGAGTTGAAGGTAAGTAAGACTTACCATACAAACAGAGTTTTTTTTTTTTCTGTGTTTTATCTTGGGGACCACATTAACTGTTTTTTTGTTCGGCCATGTAGGCAAAGTGGGAGTCAGAAAAGAAACGTGCTGATGAGCTGGAAGAATGTAGTGAAGGAAGACGTAAGAAGTTGGAAGAAACAGAAAAGAAAGTTGTTCAGTTACAGGAAACTATGAGCAGATTGGAAGAGAAACTAAACAACTTGGAATCAGAGAATAAAGTCTTCCGCCAACAAGCCGTGTCCATGGCACCTAATAAGTTTCTCTCAGGGCGTTCGAGATCTATTATGCAGGTATTTTATTTTATCAAAATTTAGGTGTTGTTTCTTTTTGACTTGGTGGATTTAGTGAGAACAGTATATATATATATATATATATATATATATATATATATATATATATATATATAATCAGTGTTTCTTAATGTATTAAGACACTAACCCTTTACCTATTTGCCCTTCTTTTTTCCTCCCAACTCATCTCATGTCAAAATTGATGAATATTGTGAAATTTGTTCTGTTGATAAAATGGTCATCTACTCTCATTCAGATGGTGCATTCAATCTAGAAAAGAAACAGACTTTATGTATACAACACAGACACTGTCCTATGAAATTTTTATCCTTTAAAGCATTATACGTTCAAACTTTTTCGTTTTAGAACAATATATTTTGAAAAATCTAGTCAATCATAGCAGTGAAATAGATTTTTCAAAGTACAATGCTGAAATAGGAAGAAAAAAAAAGTGATTGTTTGATATTCAACTCCTTGCAGAGGAACGACAGTGGTACTTTTATTGGAGAATCAAGGTCATCATCTCAGGTATCCTGAATCTTGAACTTGATGCTGTTTTTAAATTTAATCATCTATAAATAAATTACATGTTTCTGTTGCTTATGTATCAGGATCCACATAGCCCTTCAATGCATCAAAGAGATCTAGCAGAAATAGACGACACACCACAAAAATCACTTAATGAAAAACAAATGGAGAATCAAGAACTACTTATCCGATGCATTGCACAACATCTAGGATTTGCAGGGAATCGACCAATCGCAGCCTGCATCATTTACAAATGCCTTCTTCAATGGAGATCTTTTGAAGTCGAACGCACTACTGTTTTTGACCGAATTATCCAGACCATAGGCAACGCCATAGAGGTGTACTTAAATTCTTCTATTGTTTCACTTCCTTTTTATAATTATTATTTTTTTTTCTAACTTTCTTTTTGGTTTGTTTAATAGAAAAAACAGGATAATAACGATATATTGGCATACTGGTTATCGAATGCCTCTACTCTTTTGCTTCTTCTTCAGCGAACATTGAAACCAAGTGGGTCAGCATCTGGAATGGCCCCACAACGTCGTCGATCATCAGCTGCTCTTTTTGGGAGGATGACTTCTGTAATGGTTAAGTATTTTGGAATTTGATTCAACATATATATATATATATATATATATATATATATATATATATATATAATATGTATATACCAAAAATAAAATTTGATTTTCTGGTTAGAGTTTCCGTGGGACCCCTCAAGGAATCGAACTTCCTTCCTTTGTGAATGGAGATCTGAGTAGTGGAGTTGAAGGTGGTTATACCAAAGTGGAAGCCAAGTATCCAGCTTTGCTTTTTAAGCAGCAGTTAACAGCGTATGTTGAAAAGATATATGGAACAATTCGAGATAATTTGAAAAAGGAAATATCTCCGTTACTCGGGATGTGTATTCAGGTACCTAATTTCTCATTCTCTTCATTTTTACTTAATTTATTATTCATGTTGAGTAATTAGCAGCAATGGACTAAATGGTAATTTCACAATTCACACTGAAGGCACCAAGAATTTCGAGAGCCAGCCTGGCAAAGGGATCATCACGTTCGGTTTCCAGTTCAGCTCAGCAGACACTGATTGCTCATTGGCAAGGAATCGTCAAGAGTCTTGGAAGTTTCTTGAATGTTCTAAAAACAAATCATGTTAGTGCCATTTTTGTTTTTTTTGTGTTTCTTTATTTTTTCCGTTTTTAACCCTTTTTGTGAAATGTTTTTAGGTACCACCGGTTTTGGTGCGTAAAGTTTTCTCACAAATATTCTCATTTGTGAATGTTCAGCTTTTTAACAGGTCTATTATATATTTATTTTTTGTAGAGTGTGTTCCTTTGTGATGTGAATATAAAATATGATTCTGTTTTTTTTTTTTTTTTTTTTTTTTTTTTTTTTTTTTTTTTATAAAATGCAGTCTACTTTTGAGACGCGAGTGCTGTTCGTTTAGCAATGGTGAGTATGTGAAAGCGGGATTGGCTGAGCTAGACCACTGGTGTTTTAACGCAACTGACGAGGTAATTCCAGAGTGATATTTTCTTTCATTAGAATGGAATTAACGATTCCATTCCTTCCTCAATTCCATTATGCCAAACACTATTTTGTATTCTTATTTGCTAAACAAAAGGACTGCAGTATTCTGGTTCTGCTTGGGATGAACTGAAGCATATACGGCAAGCTATAGCATTTCTGGTAAAGTTTCTTTTATTATATAAAAAATTTAGTCTTTCTGGTTTTAAAGATTTTATTTTAATCAATTTTAATCCATCCCATTCAGGTTATACATCAAAAGCCAAAGAAAACACTGGATGAAATAAGTCATGACCTCTGCCCAGTGAGTCATGTTTATGTTTTTATTAGTTTACAATAACAATAAAATATTATGTAATTTATTATACCATTGAGTTGTATATATATTTAATTATGGTCCACAGGTTCTTAGTGTACAACAGCTGTACCGGATCAGTACAATGTACTGGGATGACAAGTATGGGACACAAAGCGTCTCCCCAGATGTAAGTTTCATAATAAGATCAGGTTGTTTTTTTTTTTTTTATAAATTATTAATGTGGGTTTAACTTTGATGGATGGGTCAGGTTATATCCAACATGAGATCGTTGATGACTGAAGAAAACACTGTTGTAAGCAATTCTTTCCTATTGGATGACGATTCCAGGTTAGTTTTAGTTGCTTTCATGTTGACCCAATCGTTTGACTAGTACTGAAATGTCCAAAATACCCTTTGATGATTATATGTTTTAACACATTGATTTTATGCAGCATTCCATTTTCGGTTGATGATATATCGAGATCAATGGATAATATAGAGATATCAGACATTGAGCCTCCACCTCTAATTCGCGAGAACTCAGGATTTAGCTTTCTGTTGCCACGTATAGAGAGCCACTGACCGAACTGCCCAATGTTTTCCGGTCAGGATAATCAACCGGTGAGAAGAAAAAAAAAACATGAACTGTATTATTTTCCCATGTTTTTCTCGATGTTTTTGTAGCTTTTATATATATACTAGCATGTTGTACAAATAGACATTTTTCATTTATTGACATCAGTCATAATCTTGGTTCAATTAAATGCTGAACACAATTTAAGTTAGAAAATTGTCCTCTTAACTTATCTCATAAATTCTATAACAATGAAATTCAAAAAATATATTCAAAAAAAGAAACAACACTGAGAGAGAAGATGCCTAAACCACTAAAAACTCAGCACCTATTGGTAAATGATCACTGGGATGAAAATAATTTGGCAATCCACCTTTTACATCCGCTGACTCAGCTTCCGGAAGCTCAAGGTAACTAAAAGGTTCAATTTCAATCCCATTGTCAGAAGGTGAGAAAAATATATAATCAAGTGTACCAGTGAATCCAGGGGTATAATTGGTAAATTGCGGTTCACCCCTTGTGCACGCATAAACACTTGATAAATTAATCGGTGGTTTATCTTCTAAACATTCCACTGAGCCACTAGAAACAAGATACTGGTACACCTGTACACAATTCTCAATCAATAATAAAACCTACATGTTTCTTGAATTTTCAATGTAAATTCAAGAACAGAATAACCATTGAAATATAAATACCTTGTCTCCAGGAATGGAATTGAAATCCCCAGTAATGATTACTGATGGTGTGCACTCAAAATTTTCAGATACCATTTTTTTAAATTTCGCCACGCGTGATAATAAATATTTCGCCTGTGCAAGCTTCACATCTGCCCATTCTGGATCCCTACAGAATTCAAAATTTCAGATAAAGAATAATCTCCAGACAAGAAACACAAGGGCAAAACTGGAATTATAAGTAAAAAAAATTACCAGTAAAGATGTGTGTTTGCCACAATGATATAATGTTGATAAGGTTTTTTTAAACTTGAAAGCAGCCATAATTCCAACACAATCACGTTTCAACCGGACATATGGATCATTAGGATCTCCTTTTTCTTTGGAATCAAGATCCTTCTCCTTTTGTTCCACACGGGAAGCTTCATCTAGAAGCAAGTTAGCAAGCTCATTATAGTCAATTGTTTCCTCTATCACCAACTCCAATCTGGACATTTAAACCAGCCAAAAAAAAGACATGAATACAATCAATGAATATGCTTTTTACTATGAGAATGAATGAGACAGTTGTATACTTGTTGTGCTTGTAGAAAATCCCACATCCGTCTGATTTCCTACCACTTCTTTTAATGTAGATGCTTGAGTAATCATTTTGCTCTATTTTCTCTTTGTAGAAGGTATCATACTCATCTAATTCCTGACAACAAAACAATTATTCTACACATAAGAAAAACTGGATGACAGAAATAAATATTACAGCAAATGTGTTATGGATGTGAAGAAATTAAACCTGTAAGCATAAAATATCAGTATCAAGATGTTTAAGAAGATCAAGAATTATTGGGGAACGAGCTTTCCACCTGTCATAACCAAATTTTATGCATATTCAGGTCATAAAAGAGGTGAGTAGTTATCATTCATGATAGCTTCATTCAAATATGGAGTAATAAAGAGCTCTAACAAACCAAGAAGATTTACTTGAGACAAGGTGATGGAGAGTGTGGGAATACAGAACTTTTTACATATACCTGCAGAAAAAGGAAAAAGGAAAAAAAAAAAACATTCAAGAAATAATGAATTGGCAAATTAAAAGGGGTGTGTGTGTGTGTGTGTGTATACCTGAGCCAGAATGTTATATGAAACCACTCGAAATTTGAGGCCTGTAAAAATATCAGATATGAATTGATATTTAGGTTGACAATACATAGATTTAATTAGATAAAAAAACTAAGGGGCATGGTCTTTTACATACCCTCAGACTTGCTTACGGAAGTAATTTGATTCTGTTCGACTGGGATGAATTTAGGGTAAACTGGTGTAGGTGTAGGTGTAGGCGTGTTCTTAGTGCTCATTTTTCTCATACAAATCTTACTGCATATAACATAACCCACATTTTTATGAACAAACTGTGTATCACATTAAACAGTCATGTGCTACTTTATTCACATCTCACAAATCACAAATGTGTGTGTTTGTGTTTGTAATTGATTCGTAAAACATACAGTCGAAATAGCAAAAAGGACAACAAAACCTCAACAGCATAAATCAGTAACGTAGCAAACACAAGATAAGCATCATAATAATCAAAAATCCATTTATGGAAGGGAAGGAAAGGAACAGAATGAATCCGCCGGCGTACCTTGTTCGGAAGGAGGAAGAAACGAGAGGGATGCGAGAAAGCAGTAAACCACCGGATTTCAGAATCATTTTCCCCCCAGCGGAAGAAGCGATATATAAATAAGAGCTTCTTCACAGGGCAGCCTCCTCCTCTTGCGACTAGCGACCAAACTAATAAAAGGCCCAAATTACATAATCAGTCCCTCGACTGTTTTCCAATAGAGAATTTAGCTAAGATTAGGTTGCAATTTGGTGGAATTTCATGTTCGCTTCCATTGAGGAAAAAAAAACTTATATAGTTAAATTTTTGAGTTTTTATTTTTCGTTTTGGAATTAAAAAAAGTGTTTGATTGTGTATTTTCTATTGTTTTTATTTTTGAGTTTTTGTTATTATACATAGGGTTTAACTAACTTTGGAAAGAAGTTATTGAAATATTTTTTAGGTTTAAAATAGGATTAAGGGTGGGTGGTGCCATGGTGGGAAGGGGTAGGCTACATATATCAAAGATGGGTCACTCGACCCGCCTATTTTTTTATTTTTATAAAGGATTATATAAAAATATAAATTGTGAACTATCTTAAATATTTTAAATGAACCACCTTAATGTTTTTGGCAAAAACAAATAGATTTTCAAAGCTTATCTTTGATTTTTTTATTGGTTTAATTTAAATAGTGAATCATATTGTTTTACGTTCTAGACTGTCACCGGGTAGGTGTTGGGGTTTGGGAGGAGAAAATGTAATTTATCAAGTGTGTGTTTTTTTTTTTGACATCGTTTGGACTTTGGAGATGAAAAAATATGGAAACAATAACTATTTTTTTTCCAAGTTTCTTGTAATTTTGGAAAATATATATATATATATATATATATATATATATATATATATATATATATATATATATATATATGTTTTTCCTTGGAGATTTTTTTTTAAAAAAAAAATATCAAATCAAACACGTTTTCAAAAATTTCACTTAAATTTTTTTATTATTTTTGGAAAACTAATGAATATTCCATGAACAAACGCACCTTTAGAGATAATGATACTACATGTCAACTAACTATTTTATATATAATAAAATGCCATTTTTATATGTCTCCAGAGATAAAATGCATGCCTTATAATGGTTATAATTGTGTAACCAACTATATTGTCAGTTATTTTGTAACTAAAACTAACTCTAACGAGTTTCTAGAAAATCCAATGGTTTATTTGTTGGAAGACTATTTATTACAACAAGCTTGTAAATATTATGTGTAGAATCATATTTAGCTAATGTTCAATCAATCACATCTATGTAAATGAAAGGATGGGATATAAGTTGCAATAGCTTATGATTTTGTAATAGATATAAATTACAATAGTTTATGCTTCCAAAAAAACTAAATATATTTGTTGAATGTAAATGGTTGGTGTAAAATCATATTGAGTTAACGTAGATTCAGTCATTCAAATCTATGTAAATGAAAGGATGGGATATAAATTGCAATTGCTTATGATTTTGTAATAGATATAACTTACATTGGTTTATACTTCTAAAAAAACTAAATCTGTTTGTTGAATGCATGATGGTTTATGGTATTTAAGGTAATCCTCATTTTGAGATGTTTTTTAGTCTTCCATAAAAAAAGTCATTGTTAAAGTTTCTCGATTTTAGTTTTCGATTCCACTTACCTTAAGAGTGGCAGTTCACGTTCAAAATTGAAGTGCATGAGATTCGAATCCAATGCAACTCCTTTTATAATACTCAATTCCCAAATGGTCATCAATAACATAAATTCGTTCAAGGCCCACATGGGGAGTTAGTTGCGGAACACTTGCAATATTTTAGGCGTGTCCGACTGTAATCCCTAACCTCATATGTGAAATCCAGCACCTCAACCACTAGACATATAAAGAAATGCAATACACCCTTTCTTTCTTAAATGCTAACTTAAAATTTTAATAGACTCCAAGTTGACTCATTGCTCTCTTATGAATTTTCGGTTTTTAATTCATAACATAAAATCTAAATTTTTATTTCTCGTGGTGAAATACTTTTTATTTATGCATACAATTTGGAAGTTCTAGCCCAAATTTGCAGTCATTACATTAGGAAACGTATAAGAATGGTCTACCTTGGGCTACTCAAGCAACACCCAGTAAGTTGCTCTCGATAACACGATGGAGTGAGAATCAATTACAAGGAGCTTAAATGTGCTTCGGACAAAGAACCAGGACTCTTGGGATACTCCTTTCTCATGGTCTTTCATTATGACAAACATGAAAAAACAGTTAAATATGTATATTTGCTTAAGAATTAAAGTTCGAAGTATAAAACAAGATTGTGCTCCTACACAAATTATTTCATATTGGTGGGGCTAATGACATACCACACCCAAGAAGCTTGACTGAACCAGGAGGCTTTATTGATAGGTGCATATTAAATGATCCGAACAGAACCAAGAATAACACCAACAACTAGACCTAAAATTGACCCAACAAAGGCTCAAGTCATCAACGCCCTGTCATCCTGAACCCACTTGCCAAACTCATGCATGATAGGTTGGTTCCAAATAGATTCATTATCTCTATACATCATCAAATACATATATCACAAATTGGGTCTAACCTAAATTCAAAGAAAACATTATTCAAATAAAAAATAACATATTCCAACGAATCTTGATATGAAAGGTGTTCATCATCATAAATACAAAAGAGAACTAAATCAAACAAGTTATGCTCAAATATCTTAATTTATTCTTCTCTTGTTTTTAATTGTTTGCTCCTATGCACCAATTTTATCCGATGTATTCTCAGGTTCAAAAGTGTAGGGATGTATTCTCAGGTTCAGACCCGACATACAGCTAACCAATTAGTTTAAGTTAATACTAAAATCGAGATCATAGGTACGTTGCAGTGGTAGGTTACTTTGTGGATCAAGGTATCCAGTCATAAACTATTATCCCATACAAGTGAACTTTTAGGCTGTGTTTGGCACGCCACAACTAACTGATAAGCTAGCTTATTTTTCGAGCTTTTTTAAGTTGTCATGTTTGGCAAGTCAAAAAATAGCTTATAAGTTAGTTTTTTAGGAGCTTTTTTTTAATTTTTTCAATTATACCCTTTAATTAATTATAGAAACACATTCTTTTAAATGTCATTTTAAATCTTTCAGCTAGTTTTACCAAACGTTATTTTTTATCAGCTAGCTTTTTATTTAACAACTAGCTTTTCAGCTAGTACGCTAAACATAAAGAATACGCGTGCTGATGAGACAAACCACACATTGGAGTAATGACAACACCTCAATTTAAAAGGCAGCTTTGTATAATGGTTGTAAAAGTACAAGGGTAGTAATTGTAATATTATGTAATTGCCGGCTCAGTAAAGCCCTAGACCATAGTGATTAACGCCAAAACAGAGCTTTGCTTGCACATCCGACCAAAACCCTCTCCCTTCGCATTTCGCACCGACACAGCCCCAGCCCCCAGAAACAGGCGCAAAATCACCGGCGATAACAACTACACGCCTTCCCTATTCTTCTCTTCATCGAAAACTCAAAGTTCTCATCGACAACCTCAATTCGTCATACATCTTCTATTTCTTCTGTTTCTACAACTTCAATTTGGTAAGTCGTAGCTATTCGTTATTATTGCTTCAGTAAAATGGTTACTGATTGTATGCTAATAATGTGAAATGCGTGTTGCTTGCTTTAATTACATATTCTTCTGGTTTTTAGTTTCCGTAAGGTTTAGGGTTTATATAGGTTTTGTCGAGTTTTAGGTCATGAAACTTTTTTCTTCAATCCGAACTTAAATCTGGTAAATGGGTTCATAATCCCAAAGATAACCCTAGTTTTTCGTAATTAGCGTTTAAGTATATGGAATGGTGGTAACAATTAATTACATTTTTTGGCAGAAGGATTATCTGGATGATCTGCACAAACCATCAAAAAGTTGTTCAATAGCTTCTCAGAATTCAAATTATCAAGGTCATCAATGTTGCAGAATTTGAATTTCATCTCTGATCAATTGGACCTCACTTCACTTATCAGACATCGATCTTTCACATGTCCAGTCAAGACTCAATCAACAATCACTACTTCACAAAGATATCACCATTCCGTACAATGCAGAGGCATTTGCCTCGACAGAATCACTGATTCCGGAGTAGACTCATGGAAGAGGAATAGAATCAATGAAACCAATTTCACAGAAAGGCATTCAGAATCTTCAAATAGAATCTTTGTGAACAACAACGAGCAAACAAACAACGACCTCCTACAGAATCTATGCAAAAAATGGGAATTAATAAAAGCAGCAAGATTGGTAGCTGTAATGACCCGTAGAAACCAAATCCCACATTTTGATTCTTGCATAAAGTTAATCAGAGGCCTCATAAAGATCGATTATATAGATCGAGCTTCCGAGGTTCTAGAATCCATGGTTATGTCTGGTGGTGTTCCAGATATCATCACTTACAACATGCTAATCACTGGTTTATGCAAGAACAAACAAATAATTTCTGCTATTGATCTTCTAGAAGGTATGAGCTTATCTGGTTGCCCTCCAGATGTCATTAGTTACAATGCCATCATCCGTGTGATGCTTGAACATGGCTACATTCATCAAGCTGTTTCATTTTGGAAAGATCAGTTATCAAAAGGGTGTCCTCCTTACACTAGTACAATCACTGTTCTTGTTGAGTTAGTGTGCAAATCACGTGGGGTTATAAGAGCTATTGAAATTTTACAAGATTTGTCAATTGATGGATGTTATCCTGATCTTGTGACATATAATGCTATGATTAATGTCACAAGTAAAAGAGGGGATTTTGGGGACACTATTTTGATTCTACATGATCTTTTATCTCATGGTATGAAGCCGAATACGGTCATGTATACAACTCTTCTTCATTCTTTTTTTAACCATGGTTACTTGGATGAGGTGGATGAGATTATTTCTCTCATGAATGAAGCTTCACAATCTCCAACTATGGTGACCTACAATATTTTGATAAGGGGTTTTTGTAAACACGGGTTTCTTGATCGTGCGATTGGCTTTTTCAATGAAATGGTTTCTTCTAATTACTCTCCTGATATAATCACTTACAACACGCTTTTACGTGCGACTTGTGATGAAGGAATGACGGATGTGTCCCTGGAGATTTTGAAATGTTTGGGAGACAAAGACAGTAATACCCCTCCGAGTCTTGTAACCTACAACATTGTGATTGATGGATTGGCGAAAAGGGGTGATATGGAGAAAGCGGTTGATTTATATCAGAAAATGATGAAGGAAAAGGTTATTGTTCCTGATGATGTTACTCATAGATCCTTGATTTGGGGGTTTTGTCATGCTGATATGGTTGATGAAGCCATGGAGATTTTAAAGGTGATGGATAGAAAGAACCATAGGGCGACACATAGTACTTATAAGTATATTATTCATAAGCTATGTGAATATAAGAAAGTAGAAGGGGCAATTCAGGTATTAAAAATGTTGGTCTCAAGCCCATACAAGCCGTATAGTGAAAAGTTTTATTCTGATATGCTTTCAGGTTTAGCTACAAATGGTATGAACAATCAAGCTAAAGAACTACATCAGAAACTGATCGAATGGAAGGCTGTTTAAATCTTTTTTTTTTCTTTTTTTTTTTTGTTCTTCTGTTTTCAGTTTAGTAATGAAAAAAATATCAATGATAAATGGCATACCTTTGTAGACCATTTAGCTATATCTGTTTTCAGAATCCAGAAATGGGAAAGTCTTTTTCAACCTTGTAAATGATTCTTGTGAGATTACTTTCATTTGGAAAAGAGAATGACCCAAGTCAATAGCCTCTGCCCTTCTGCCTGAAAACCCGACCCCTTCCACCAACAAAATGTAAGATGTCTGATTTGGTTGACAACCCGTTTCCACCATTTCTTCCAACACATGAATAGCATCATCCATTCTATGAGCTTTACACAATCCAAGAAGTATGATATTATAAGTTATAACACTAGGCATAAATCCATTACTTTTCATACTTTCCAACAACCCAATCGCCTCATCCACCATTCCATCTCTACACAAACATGATATGAGAGCATTGTATGTGATCTCATCAGGGTTGATTCCTTTTATAATCATCTCAGAAACCATACTCAAAGCTTTCTCCCTTTCTTTATTGTTCCATAAAGCACTTATCATTGTGTTATACGTGCTTACATCAGGTGGACACCCTGTTTCACCTAATCTTTCAAAAATCTGCATTGCTTCATCTGCATTTCCGTTTTTACACAAAGCTGATAACACTGTGTTGTAATTTACTATATCCGGCCAACATCCTGTTGATATCATGTAATCTAGAAAACCGATTGCTACATCAAGTCTGCCTTCTTTACAAAAAGCAGAAATCAAAGGGTCAAAAGTGAAAGCATCAGGAGTAAGCCCAGTTTCTACCATGATCTTTAACATATTCATAGCTTCATCTACCTTGCCATCGCGACATAAAGAGGTTATTAAAATGCTATAAGTAACAGCATTTAACTCACAGTTTCTTGAGAACATTTCTTCCATTAATCTCTCTGCATCACCCCATTTCCCTTGATTCAACAATGCTCGTAGTAGAATGTTGTAGGAGATGACATCTGGTTTACATCCTTTTGATGGTAAACTTCTTACGAATTCAAAAGCTTCATCCATCATTCCTTCTCTACATAGACCTCTGATTATTGCATTGTAAGTGTACATATCAGGTTGAAGACGTCTAGACAACATCTCATCTAGAAGCTTCATCGCTTCATTAATCCCACCGTCAAAAATGGTGGCCTCGATCAAAATTGTGTAAGTAATAACCGTAGGTTTACAGTTATCCTCCAGTAGCTTATCCAACATCTTCATAGCAAATCCAAGTTTCCCTCTACTACATAGACTACCGATCAGAATATTGTAAGTAACCACGTCCGGTGAAAACCCTTGATTTCTCATCCGATCTAGCACTCTGTTGGCTGAATCGATTTGATTCAACTTACAAAACCCGCTGATTACTGCATTATAGGCGAAAACATCTGGTTCACCATGGGATTCGAGTATCTGGATGACTTTAACTGCCTTTTCGACCCGCTTTGTGTTGAAGAAGCCCTTAATGAGCTTCGTACAGAGGATCACGTCAGGTTTATAACCTTTGCCGACCATGAGCTCCAGAAAGTAGAGTGACTCGTCGTATTTACCTGCTTTGCAGGATCTGTTGAGCAATTTCATGAAATGTGTCTCTTTGTAAGTGTAGGATTGGAAATGGGCAGGCTTCGAAGTGGTAGTAAGTATGACATTTGAAGAAGAGCTTCTACTGTGGTTGGGACTAGGGTTTGAGTTTGGGTTTCTACAGGTTATAACAGAGTAATGATGGTGAGCAGTTGTGTGTTTTGGGTGAGCGTTGAAGGGGAAGAATGTTGGTGAGAATTCTGCAGAAATCATTGCCTGATTTGGTCCGAGAGATTGAAATTCAGTGAAGTCTCATTGTCCAGAGAATGGGGAGAGAGAGAGAGAGAGAGAGAGAGAGAGAGAGAGAGAATCTGTTATATGTGTGGCAGGATATGAAGATTTCTGATTTCATGACAATATCCGAGTTTATGGATAAGATGAGACCCATGTGTTGTACGGGTCGGGTCAAGTTTTACTCATGCTTCATTCGGCACAACAATTAACGGTCTAAATAAAATAAAAGAAAATTCATACAATGATATAAAAGGTTTAGAATGATTACTGGATTGTTTCAATCCTATTTTGGTCTCAAAATTTGTTTTATTCTTCTTAAACTTTTTTTATTTGTTAATTGTTTTAGGTTGGTGGTTACACAAGAGGTCCTCACACTTAATTTTTTGTTTTCTTTTGATCCCTTCTATCGACAGCCTTTTTTTTTGAAGAGCTCAATTTTCATGTATACCAAGTTGGCAAAAGCTAACAAAAAAATGGGGATTACAAATGAAAAGGATGCCCATTGTATTTTTATAGTACATCTACGACTAATTACCTAAGGATCAATCAATGAATTTGTGTCTGACACTAGCCTTAATACGCATACATGTACATACACATACAAATATAATTACATATGCATACGTATACACATACACATACATGCATGTGTACGCATACACAAGTACACAACAAATGCATACATACATATACAACTACACATGTATACCATACACATACACATGTATACGTAACAACAGAGGGAGCAAACGGGCACACCGACGCTACATCCCCCGTCAAATAAAATTGTGCTTAGGGTTAACAAGTTATATTGTTTTTTAAAAAATGTAAGTGGTAGATATAATTAAGTACAGTATATCTTTGATCCTCGCCACCATCCTTTTTTGGGAATGACGGATTCGCCGCTATGCTTTTAGATGTAACCAATTTCAACCCACAAGTTCAACCAACATTTGTAGCAATATGTTGCCTTTGAAAAACCACTTTTCATCGAAAGTGTTGATCCTAACGATATCAAACAAACATAATTCATTTTTATAAGGTCATTCATATCATTCATCTTTCAAAATACGTTTTTCAAACATGTCACATTAGCTTTTATAATTAATTTTATATCAATGAAATGTCATTCATTTTTCAAAAATGGTTTCACTGTCACATCAACAGTTAATTTATATTTTTCAACTTATATCTTAAATATTAATGTATAATTTAACTATTTATAATTAAAATAATAGATTTTAATTATAAAACAACAAACTTTACATAATTATGCATATTTATCATATTTACAATTAATTTTTCTTTTTATCCCGGTTAATATTTATATAATTGAATATGTTATAAAATGTAAAGTGAAAAAGTACAATGTTAACTTTTCTTTTTATATCCTCTCTCTCTCTCTCTCTCTGTATATACAGACCATCTCTCTCTGTATATATAGAGAGAGACTAGGCCGACCGTTATCTGGGAAGGTGTGTCTATAGATTACGCTCAGAGGTCCAAGATATAGATATATAGTTGAGAGAATATGAGAGAGATGAAGATGATTGAGTTGTGTTTTGTTACTTTCTGATACCTCCTATGAAAGAGGTATTTATATCATTTGTGGAGGAGACAATGTTAGGCTAATGGTATGATTTTTGTGGCACTACCGTGGCATGCTTTTGCAGGTGATCATGGGTGCCATACAATCTTATGCTAGAATCAAGCATGACACCTTTGCCACTCTGGCTTTGCTCTTGGTTTAGTTGTATCGCAGTCCGATTCTACCCTCGTTCTGGCTCCTGGGGAGTCGCGTCACTACTCGGTTGGGTATTTGATATGGTTCGATTGGAGTCGTTGCCTGTCTTACGGACCTGATGGTACAGTATAAGTCCCCCAACCTAATAAATAGTATTAGAGTCTGCGAGAGTGTGTATCAAACTCGAATATGGTATCCACTTTGAGCTGTTGTAGTTCCATATGCAGGTGCGTATATTACACTTTGTCTTTTGCTTGCGTCCAGGCACATCTGGTTATTCTGCTTTAATGAGGTAAGGGGCATGTTCCCAACACTTGCAAAAGTGGGTTTCCTGTTCGTCTTGCTAACCGTTGCTTATAACCATTATCGATTTTTCATTCTTACCACATTTTCCTTGGAGTGTTGTGTTTTCTTCCTTTGTTTTTGCAAAAAACGGTGAAGGATGAAGGCATTGATGATGTTTTGCCAATGATGACTATGGTGTGGGTTGAGGCGACAAATTTAGACTACCAATTTAGGGAGAACTATGATGTAGCTTTGCTTAAGCTTGATGCGCCGATTACTCATGCGCCAACAGGGAAAGTGAGCATTTATTTGAAGTCTATAGAGTTTGGACTCCGTCTTCCTTTGAGTTATTTAGTGGTAGATGTTCTTGGATTTAACCAAATACATATCGCTCCCATGAAAAGCCTAATGTGATAGGGAAGTTGGTTGCTTTTGAAATGTTATGTGGGAGTCCCATGAATATATAGTCAAAAAATGGATCAATATCCGATTATAATGCAAATTACAGAAAAAGAGCAATATAGTTTGCCCTATTTATGAATAAAGGCGATATATTGAATCTATAGTTTTGTATGGATTACAACAACTTCTAAGTTGAACAATTGGTGTAACCTGTTACCAACAACTTCATCCAAAGTCTAAACATATCATCACCATGTCATACTTTAGTTTTTGTCAGCATAAGATCCAAAAGAAAAGCCTTCTCAGGGCATACCTTATTCACCACTTGTTCCACTTCTTCTCCTACCTTTTCCACTACACTCCTCCTCCTCATACCTTCATCTTCATCCATTTCCTATACACATTGATTACACAACAAACACATAAACAAAAAGACTTCCATAAATTTAGAAAAAATAAAGTCAATGTTACTTACCTTGATCAACCACATTATATAAGTAGCAGCAAACATTGCTTGTGCTTGATAATCCTCAAAAACATTATCCGGGATCATTTTACATGATCGAAAAAGTTTTATTTCATTTTCCACAAATAAATCCAAATGGGTCCCACTCCCACCCGTATGACTATGACCTGCAAAATGCTTCATCCAGCACACTGACAAGAAACGCCTGTAAAGCCATAAGGCCTGTATCACATCACATAAAATACAAATACTACACTTAAAACATCACCTAATCACAAATATAAGATTAAAAATAACAATAACAAACAAATCCACATACCTCTCTACCTATGTAACGCTTGTTTAATATCTCACTCCATGTTATCTCTTCCTGATAGATATATGCAAAAACATAATAATAACTTAATTGTATGGAAAATAACATAACATGAACATGTCAGATGTCAGATGTGAGTAAAAACCTTCCAAAGTTGACAAATTTCTGTTGCTTTTAAATCTTGTTTATACCATGAATCCTCTAATGTCCTGCTCATTAACCGCTGTCCAATAACTAACATTTTAGTCACTTAAATAAACAAGTCAACACCACAAAGTCAACAAACTTACAGTTCGATAATGAAAGCAAGAGTTATCTGCAACATGTAATCCAGCCCAATCTCTATATTTGATTAACTCATCAATCACCTGAGACAATCAAGTCAAGAAATACTCCAAATGAAGAAAATTGTGAAATTATTTTATCAAATTTGTACCTGACTCTCGGGCATGTAGGAGACCAACCAACATCGATGATTCCATGCACGATAATTCATCTTTGACTTCTGTATGTATAATTACAGACAACAGTATCAATCAAAAAATGTGGTGCTACAAAAAAAAAAAAAAAAAAAAAGAACAGTTGAAAATATTTCAGTTAGTTGACCTCTGCTATTCTGTTAGCTAAATCAGATTCGTTTTTCAAAATCTCTTCAAGATTTGTACACTTTCCAGCTATCATCTTGATCACCCATCGCCTATCATAAATAGAAAAACATTATTGAAAGATGGAGGAGAAGATAAATAAAACATCAGAAAGAAACTTTATTGAGGCTAAGTAAGAGCTACCTTCCAAAACGTTACCTATGGCTCCACGTACGCTCGCTTTTTGGTGAACATGAAAGAACCAAACTTGAAAGTGAAAGCTCATCAAGATATAGCCTAATGTTTTGTTTGCTTAAGACAACTTCCTTTCTGCAAAGCATAAAAACATAAGAGAAGCCATCTTTCAGGGATATAAAAAAAGAAGAGCAAATGATGTTATGAATCAGAGAAACAGAAAGAGAGACCTGCAATTCCATGCAGTTCCAAAATCACAACTCAGCAGCAAAAGCGCTCTGCTATGCTTCATTAGTTCGTTTTCAAGACCAGTTAGGGGAGATGAAGTGGCTGAGATATTATCCACTTTCTTTGAATGTAAAGGGATCAACATCTTATATTGTTGTAGTGAAGACATAAATGCATTCTTAGCAGCAATGTATAATGGGTGGATTGATTCGGTTGAGATGCCCAGTTTGTGATCTTTACTCCAGAAAGACATATCCATATCAGAAGTATTAGCGTGTGAAGTGTCACTCATGGAAGCAAATTGGGATGGATGAACAAACCCCACTTCATCACTGTTTGCAGATGAAAAGTCGAAGATAAAGATACAATATTTTAAGCATAAGATTTGGTATAGTAGTATCACATGTAAAACTTACATTAAAGGATCCGATTCGAGAATGGACTCTAATTGATATACAAGAGAAGAAGGGTCCAAGTAGCTGGATGGAACTGCTTCACTCATGATTTGAAGGACTAACAGCTTGGCTCTAATATTCAGCACGCAGGGGTATTTTTGTCCGCAAAAAAAGTCTCATATAAGTTTTTAGGAACGAGATTTGAACCTCAACCAAAATTGGATCATTTTCTTCAATTTCAATCAACGATTCCAACATAGAATTATGAAGACTGAATGATAGCAACACAACGCGTATTCAGATGCAATGGAATGAAGCTTGAATTATGGAATTATGAACCCTAACAAAACAAGCAACAAAATAGAGAAGTTATGAACCCTACCAACAAAAAGATCATGATTCCTTTCTATGTTTGATTATGTCTATTTTTTCCATTCCATAGTTAGTATCAGGCTTTGTCCAGAAAAGAAAAAGGAATACCAAGAGGTGAATGGTTTACCATTTGTGGAACACCAAAAGTTTTTCAGTGGCAAATGAACTATCCAAAAGTTTCTCAGCATCAATATTTGCATCAATTAACCCAATACAACAATTAACCAATACACCACAATCAAATTAACAGAAATGTGCCATTCCTATTAATTTGTTAGTGTATTGTGTTTAGCCAAATATCACTTTAACTTTGCAATTGGAATTCAATTAAGTTATCGAACAAATGAATTAAGTATATAATTATAAATTAATTAAGTTTTAGAATCAATTACATCAACCAGATTTTTATATATCTACTAATACACCTACATATACAAAAGCTTCAAATAAGATGTTGTGAATATGTACTAGTGTGATGTTGTACTTAACTAAGATAATCACTCAATTGTTGTTGACAAAGACTTCAAAAACAAAAGAAAGATTCGTTATGCATGACGTATAAACACTCATCATATTAGTGAAATACAAGCTCAATGGATCATCAAAATTTCTGAAAAATAAAAATTGGAGTGTAACTCATACCATAGGTTATCAGGAATCAGAATTAACGAGAAAACAATTTAGGTTATTCAACACTAAAAACGAAAAATGGAGACTTAGAATAGTCAATTACACTTTCCTCTATTGAGATTAGAATGGTAATATGATACCTTGAGAGGATCGAGATTATACTGACGGGAGGAATCATTGAAGGGTCGACGTCAACAGGAAGAGGGGTTGGAGGGGAGGCTCCAATCTATTAGCTTCAACTCTGGTGGACGTGAAGGAGAGCGTTGATTTACCTGATTCGAGGAGAAAAATGTCAAAGGGCTTGGTTATCTAAGTTTTCAGCTGGCGAATTTCCTTTAGATGACTATGAGTCAGGTGAAAAGAAACAAGATTTAGGTAAATTTTGATAACGGACAACATTACAATTTGAGGGATGAGGGAGATCATATTTGGAGAAGGGAACCTATGGGGTGTTTGGGATTGCTTTTGAAAATGCTTATTAGCTTTTAATTTGAGGGATGAGGGAGATCATATTTGGAGAAGGGGAACCTATGGGGTGTTTGGGATTGCTTTTGAAAATGTTTATTAGCTTTTTAAAAAGCAGCAAAATATATATATATATATATATATATATATATATATATATATATATATGTTTGGCAACTCAAAAACATTTTCAAAATAGTTTTTCTATAAGCTTCAAAAAGCCTTTTTTAATAAGCATGTAAAATGTGGCTTTTTGAAACTGTTTATGACTTTTCAACCAAAATAACTTCAAAAAACATTTTTTAAGCTAAATATTTTTTAACTTATTGACTTATTGGCTTTTTCACTATAAAAACTTATCTAAATACTTTTTAAAAAACTCATTTTACCATTACTATAAGCAAATAAACACTTCTATCTAAAAAGCACTTTTAGAGTTCAAAAAGCACTCCCAAACACCCCTGCTTCTTAAAAATTTGAATTTGAATTTTTATAAATTAGAAGGAAGATGAACTCCTAATTTTTCTTAGGATAAATCAAATAATTTGAAATTTTATATTTTATAAATAATATTGTTAAATTTATAAGTTATGTCTATTATTATTTTAAAAATTAATGTTATTTATTAACTTTATAATTAATTAATTTTATAGTATTTTTATTTTGCTATAAATAATTAATTCGTAATCAATTATATAGTATAATAACTACAAAATTTGAATTTGTAGTCAGTTTCATAGATGCATAGCTATGAAGTTTGATTCCATGACCATCTAACTACGCAAAACCACTTACACTTACACCCATACAACCAACACCAAACACCCACCCCTAATTTTTAAGACCCACGCTACACCACACACCTTAACCATACCCCCATAAAACCCACTCGACCCCAAACCCCCACGTACATACTCACACTCCCACCTGACTCGTTAAACCCAAAGCTCAATCGGTTTGACCCGATTAACAACCCTAGATATACGTTTAGAGGAATAAGGGGCTATGCTCCCAACAATTTTCAGTTGACAAACATGTGTTTAAAAGAAATTAGGATAAAATAACTATGTTAATCAAAACATGAGCACTAAAGAATTATGATTTAGGAACAAAAACAATTATGCGGGTAAGTAATTATCTGAGATTTAGTCCATGATATGTTGTATCAAAATAGTATTCGCGATTGATTTATCAATCTTTGATATATATATATATATATATATATATAGACTTAGGTTATTTTGTTTTTACTAACTATTGTGTGCCAGAATGCACAGATATGGACCACCGGATGGAATAGAATCAAAGGTCATGATCTGAGGGTCTATGATATTAGAATATGATAACATGTATCATATAATCACACTAATTTCAGCATAAGGGCATTTTAGTCAATTAACCTATATTAAAAAAGGAAATTTTCGGATTTTTAGGGATAATTAATTCTTTTATTTTTAAAAATCTGAATATTTTAAATTAATGCAAATTTAAAAATCCGATTTTATTCTGTCAGAATGATAGAATGCAAACCATAAACTAGTAAATATATTTCTCGATTTTATTCTGTCAGAATGACAGAATGCCAACCATGAACTAGTAAATATATTTTTCGTTTTTAGTGTTGAAGAACCTAAATTGTTTTCTCGTTAATTCTGATTCCTAATAACCTATGGTATGAGTTACACTCCACTTTTTATTTTTCAGAAATTTTGATGATCTATTGAGCTTGTATTTCACTAATATGATGAGTGTTTATACGTCATGCATAACGAATCTTTCTTTTGTTTTTGAAGTCTTTGTCAACAACAATTGAGTGATTATCTTAGTTAAGTACAACATCACACTAGTACATATTCACAACATCTTATTTGAAGCTTTTGTATATGTAGGTGTACTAGTAGATATATAAAAATCTGGTTGATGTAATTGATTCTAAAACTTAATTAATTTATTATATACTTAATTCATTTGTTCGATAACTTAATTGAATTCCAATTGCAAAGTTAAAGTGATATTTGGCTAAACACAATACACTAACAAATTAATAGGAATGCCAGGGCCGGCTTTACTTCAATAAAAATTAAGCAAGGGCTCCTAATTCTAAGGGGCCCCGTTTAACCCAAATATCCATTAGTGATTCTCCATTCGTATTCGCGCACGCCACAGAAGAAACCATTAACCAAGAGACTGCCGACTCTTCTTCTTCTTCCGATCTTCCTTCTCCGCTTCTCTTTCTCTGATTCTCCATCTCGAAAGAAGCAACCATTACCAATCTACAATATCGATTGAATATTGATCGGCTCCTCCTTTTTGATCAGTTGATTCTCGATTCTTCCTCTTCCTCACTGAAAACTTCAAGGTTGTCAATTGTCGTCAAGAAGATAAGAAGATAGGAACTGAAAGTCTGAAACAGTGAAACAGTATGTTCTTCTTGACTTCTTCCTCTGATAATATGATTCTCCATTGTTGATTCTTATTTCTCTATTAGTCTATTAGGCTTATGTTTGATATATGTTATATGTATAATTGTATATCAATCTTCGGACCTTCCATAGTTTCATTATCTGAATTCTGAATATCAGAATCTAATTATGAGATTAATAGATTATCTATTACGGTTAATACTTAACAGGGGTTAATTTTTTTAATATTCATTGTGTCAATATCAAAAAATTGAACACTGTGATGGATCATTTGTTAAGTTTTTTTTTTCCATTTATGAATATGATGTGGCTATAACTTTTGTGGAAGCTCTAGTAATCTAGTTTGTATGGCAATATGTTCCAATTTCAACAATATAGTGTAAACATGATGTTCTTCTTGTTCTATGAAGGAACATCTATCTTTGAACTAAATGTGTAATACATTACCACTCAATCAGGGTTGGAACTAAATGTGTAGTACATTACCATTGAATTAGCGTTTATAAAACTAAATATAGTAAATGTCAAAGGGCCCTAAATTTTTGGTTTGCTTAGAGCCCCCAAACTGATTGAGCCGCCCCTGGGAATGACACATTTCTGTTAATTTGATTGTGGTGTATTGGTTAATTGTTGTATTGGGTTAATTGATGCAAATATTGATACTGAGAAACTTTTGGATAATTCATTTGCCACTGAAAAACTTTTGGTGTTCCACAAATGGTAAACCATTCACCTCTTGGTATTCCTTTTTCTTTTCTGGACAAAGCCTGATACTAACTATGGAATGGAAAAAATAGACATAATCAAACATAGAAAGGAATCATGATCTTTTTGTTGGTAGGGTTCATAACTTCTCTATTTTGTTGCTTGTTTTGTTAGGGTTCATAATTCCATAATTCAAGCTTCATTCCATTGCATCTGAATACGCTTTGTGTTGCTATCATTCAGTCTTCATAATTCTATGTTGGAATCGTTGATTGAAATTGAAGAAAATGATCCAATTTTGGTTGAGGTTCAAATCTCGTTCCTAAAAACTTATATGAGACTTTTTTTGCGGACAAAAATACCCCTGCGTGCTGAATATTAGAGCCAAGCTGTTAGTCCTTCAAATCATGAGTGAAGCAGTTCCATCCAGCTACTTGGACCCTTCTTCTCTTGTATATCAATTAGAGTCCATTCTCGAATCGGATCCTTTAATGTAAGTTTTACATGTGATACTACTATACCAAATCTTATGCTTAAAATATTGTATCTTTATCTTCTACTTTTCATCTGCAAACAGTGATGAAGTGGGGTTTGTTCATCCATCCCAATTTGCTTCCATGAGTGACACTTCACATGCTAATAATTCTGATATGGATATGTCTTTCTGGAGTAAAGATCACAAACTGGGCATCTCAACCGAATCAATCCACCCATTATACATTGCTGCTAAGAATGCATTTATGTCTTCACTACAACAATATAACATGTTGATCCCTTTACATTCAAAGAAAGTGGATAATATCTCAGCCACTTCATCTCCCCTAATTGGTCTTGAAAACGAACTAATGAAGCATAAAACGGTGAAGGATGAAGGCATTGATGATGTTTTGCCAATGATGACTGTGGTGTGGGTTGAGGCGACAAATTTAGACTACTAATTTAGGGGGAAAATGACTTATTGGAGTAATTAACTTTTCGTTTTGTTCACATTTAGACAACTTTCATTTTCTGTACGCATTTAACAATTTAACTTGTTAATGTGTTCACATATTACCATTATCACCTGTTGTAGTCGGTGACAATGGTAATATATGAACACATATAATAAGTTAAATGGTCAAATGTGTACAAAAACAAATAAGTTGCCTATATGTGAACAAAGCGACAAAGATGATTACGCCTGGTAAGTCATTTTCCCAACAAAAAGTAGATGAAAAAGTTTGGACATACCCATTCAACAAAAATTTAATGATTAATAAGGTTTTTGGTTGTTTAGTTATTTTTTATACAAAGAAATTAAATAAGACTATACGGTGTCATGCGGTTTTCGCCACTGGTAGTCCGAAGTGGACTGCTTTACCGACGGTGAACACCACGCCTCTCCTATTTTTTCTTTCAGGAAATCACCAAAAAAAATCCAAATATTTTGGGAATTTTTTTAATAAAATCCTAAATTTTATTTTTTGCACAGAAAAAGTCCCGACTTTAACCTTTTTAATAGAAAAAGCCTAACAAACTGAGTAATTTATTCACTTTAGCCATTTTTGACCTGTTTAGCAGGTAATGGAACCAAATCGTTAAATTTTCCAAAATAATGGTTGTAACATCCCATTTAAATAGAATAATTAAATAATAAACCCGGAACCCCGAGAAGTAAATTTTATTATTATTTTATATTACTAAAGCCCAAAAATCAAATAATAATTAGCGGGGTGTTGGTTTCGCGAAGCCAAATGACAAGAATGGAAGTTTCGGGGGTTAAAGTGTAATGTCGGGATTAATTTTGCAAAGGAATTTAGAAGTCAAGGGAGGGCGTTTGGTATCATTGGACTTAAATTGTAAAGGATTTCAGTAGGCAGAGTGTAAATGGTAAAATATGGACCTGCTGTGAAAGAAAAAGGAAAGGGAGGGGCTAATGTTGTCATTATGGGGTATAGTTTATTGGATCAGCGTATATAACCCGTGCTAACCCCGTCGCACCTTGCAAACCCTAACCCTAACCTCTACATCGGCCGCCACCCCTCCACTTCCTCTTCTTTACTTCTGGTAGACGCCAACCTCCGTCGTTGCCTTGAACCACCAAACGACTGCCGCCACAACTCCGACGATGGGATGGAGACTCGATATCGTGGTTGTTGTTGTTGCTTTCTCAACCGTCATTCCTTCCTTCCTCCGAGTCGTCGTCATGTTGTTGATTATCGCTGCCGGATTGCGTCGCCTTCAAGCTCCGTCGTCGCTGGCCGCTGTTGGGACGGAAGAATCACGTTGGTTTCAATTGTGTCACTATTCTCGGTGATGAATCGTATTGCCTTTCCTTCCCCTCCTGTTTCTTCTCCGCAGCTGGTGACCGGCGTCCGCCGCTGCCGTCTGGAGGCTACTCAACACTGATGTTTCCGTCCGCCACGTACCACCGTGAAATGGTGGTTGGGTTGTGGTTTGTGATGCAGTTGCGTGTGTGTGCGTGTGGCTTTCTGTCGACTGGAGATCGTGAAGAACCACCATGGTCGCCGGCCATGGTGGCTGCCGGAGATAACGAAGTTGTTGCCGCCCGTTTCTTGTGTTACTTTCGTCGCCGCCCACCATAGGTGGGTGTTGGGTTTATGTTCCGAGCAAAGGATGTGTGTGTGCGTTTTATTAGTGTGTGTGTTTATTAGTGTGTTTGTATGTGTGTTCTATTTGGGTTGTGTTGTAAGTTGTAATCAATCGGAATAGTAAAGGAAAACTTGAAACCACCACCGTGAGGTGGTGGCTGCCGCCGCCGGCCGCCGTGTTAGGTGGCGGTGTGCCTCGTTTATTGGACTCGTTTGGGATGTTTGGACAAAGTGGGCCCAATGAAACCCTAATAGGCCCAAAGGAACCCTAATTGGCCCAATGAAGCCCAATTGACCTAAAATTCCAACCATTTAACTTATGGGCTAGTATGTGGGTAGGAAACCCTAATTAGGGCTTGGAAAACCCCTAATGTCATGAAACCCTAATTTTGGGACTGATCGGGACCCGCATCGGGATTATTTTTTTAAACTTAAATTATTAATTAATAATCATTGGTAAACTAATCTAAAGCAATGTTGGACTTAATGGATTAAGTCCTTAATAGGTTAAGTAGGAACACTTAACCCTAATCATCATTTCATGTGAAAACCTTAATTTCACTTGGGCCTTGAGTTGGGCCTTCCTATTGGACTTTGGTGATTGGGTTATTAATGGGCCATCCAAAATCAAGCATATGGACTAGAATAATTTAATGGGTTTTAGGGCAAGGCCCATGTAAGGGGTTTGGGCCCAATTGGAAAATTGGGCCACAGATGGGCCATAATTTGACATTTATGATTATGGGATATTGGGGCATGGGAATACCAAGAGTTTGGACCAGAATGGGTAGTTGGTCCTTAAGGTAAGGCCCATGTGAAGGGTTAGGCCCAATTTTGAAAATTGGGCCACATGTTGGGCTTTGGCCCATTACATGACTTTTAGGACCTTGGGCTTGGAACCAATTATTAATTGGGTATTGTTTGATGTTGACAGTTCGGGAAGCTGTCAACCAGCAGCTGGAGTTTTATCTGCGGGACTTCAGCAGCGTTAGGTGAGTTCTCCTCACTATATCAACAGGGTCTAAGGCACCAATGTCGGCCCTTATTGGATTTGCATCCGGGTTTATTGCATGATATGTTTATTTGATTTACATCCTGGTAGTTAGGATGGTTGCTATGTTAGAGATCGGTTAGATCAACATCTTGGTTTAGGATGGTTGTTATGTTAGATTACATCCTTGTTTAGGATGGTTGCTATGTTAGATTACATCCTGGTTTAGGATGGTTGCTATGTGATATTTCATCCTGGTTTAGGATGGTTGCTATGCTAGTAATTTGTTAGATTGATTTCCTGGTTATAGGATGGTTGCCATGTTAGCGATCTGTTAGATCTGTATGACTATTTGTTATTGCATGCTAGCATATGATATTTATGTGCACATGGTTGTTGTTCTGGGGAAAGGGTTGAGGCAGGTCCTGTTGTGTGCAGTAAACAAAGACACCCTGGGTGGACCGGATAGACTGCAGGCCCGGGCCGGGCAAATCTAGTCAGACCGAAGGCCCAGCGAGCGGTCCGGATAGGCTGAAGGCCCCGAGGAGGGCGGTCCAGACGTGCCGAGGGCTCGAAGAGCGGTCCAGATAGACGGAGGACCGGGATTCGGTCCAGTCAGACTGATGGCTCATTATGCATGTTGTTCTGTAATTGTTTGCTTATATTTTTATATGATATGGTTATATATGTATGGTGTTGGTATTTTGGGGGTAACTCACTAAGCCTTCGAGCTTACATTTATCGATTATTGTTTCAGGTATTCTAATGATCGCGGGAAGGCGAATGCGTGATCGTGCACCTACTCATGTTTTATGACCTGATTATGGGGATACTCTGATGTTTAAATTATTTTAAAAGTAAACTGTAATAACTTAATGGTTTTAAATGTTTTAAAAATTTTTAAATTTGTTTGAATTTTATGGATGTTACAATTGTACTTTTCTGCAGATTTCGTCAAAACTTGTATATAATGTATAAACGTATTTTTATGTGTTTATATATATATATATATATATATATATATATATATATATATATATATATATATATATATATATATATATATATGTATATATTAAGTTTTTATATGTATATGTTTACGTAATTTTATGTATTTTAAATATAAAAATATATTTTTTACGTATTTATATGTATTTTTAAGTATTTTACATATTTTTTATGTATTACATATTTATCTCTTTTAAATGTATAAATGTATGTTTTTTACATATTTATATGTATATTTAAGTAATTTACATATTTTTTATTTATTTTTATGTGTTACTTTTTATGTATTACGTATTTATGTATTTTTTTTAAGTTTTATATATAGATGTTTATGTATTTTAAATGTATGAACGTATATTTTACGTATTTATATGTATTTTTAAGTATTTTACATATTTTTTATGCATTTTTATGTGTTTGTTTTATGTATTACATATTTTATGTATTTATGTATGTTTTAAAGTGTTTTTATAGATTTTTTATGTATTTTAAATGTATAATTGTATTTTTACGTATTTATGTGTATTTTTTTACTTCAAGTCATATTCACTATTTCATCTCATTTGTATAGCTTATTCGAGTATGTCTAGATGATCTTCCCACATACCTATATATTTTAAGTTTTTTCAACTCGCTTATCTTGAAATTAAACATCGAATAGAAAAAACTTAAATTATATGGGTATGTATGCATACAGCCCATACTGGAAGAAGCTGTGTGAATTAGATGAAATGGTAAAGACAACTTGAAGTAAAAAAATACATAAATACTTAAAAATAATATGGTTATACATTTAAAATACATAAAAATCTATATAAAAAAATTTAAAAAAAATACATAAATACGTAATACATAAAAATACACAAAAAATGTAAAATACTTAAAAATACATATAAATACATAAAAAATACGTTTATACATTTAAAATATATAAAAATATATTAACATCTATATAAAAACTTAAAATATATATAAATACGTAAAAATACATATAAATACGTAAAAATACATATAAATATGTAATACATAAAAAAACACTTAAAATACATTCAAAATATGTAAAATACTTAAAAATACATAAAAAATATGTTTATACATTTAAAATAAATAAACATCTATATAAAAAAAATACATAAATACATATAAATACGTAATACATAAAAAATAAAACATAAAAATACATAAAATATATATATATATATATATATATATATAATGGTTAAAAATACATATAAATACTTAAAGAAATACATTTATACATTTAAAATACATAAACATATACATATAAAAGCTTTAAAAAAAATACATAAATACGTAAAAATAGATATACCTACGTAAAAAAATATGTTTATACATTATAGACAAGTTTTGACCAAATCTGTAGAAAAGTCTCATTATTTTGGAAAAAATAACGATTTCGTCTCATGATCTGCTAAACATATCAAAAATGGTTAAAGTGAATAAAATCGCCGGTTTCTTGAACTTTTCTATTCAAAAAGTTAAAAAATCGGGACTTTTCTGTTCAAAAAAATAAAATTTAGGTATTTTTTAAAAAATTTACCAAAATAGTGAGGCTTTTCTAGAGATTTCCCTTTTTCTTTCATGGTAAAACATATTCACTTTTACAAATCTATGTCCATCTTTATATTTCTTTTATATCTTTTTTAGAAAAATCTCTCAAAAAATGGCAAATCTATTACAAACTTGCAAGTTGTTGCTAACCGTTGATCATATTGTTGTTGATGCGACATCGGCTCCGACCACCTGCTCTGAGGATGTGCTTCTACGTCAGAGACAGATCTGCGAAGTCACAACAGACAAGGTCGTTAGAGCCGCCCCATGGACTGTGCCTTGGGAGCGGACTCTGACGGTCAAGTTAGATCATCTAGTAGATCTGAGATGGTTCTCTTTAGCTAGAGAGAACCATCTTGGTGATGGTGGTGGTGTATGGTGGCTGACGGCGGCGGGTGGCGGGTGAGCCACCCGACCGAAGTATAGTGTGGAGATTCCCCAGCACGGCTGGCAAGGGAGCGCCAGGCAATGCTGGCAAGGGAACGCCAGGCAGGGCTGGCTGGAGCGCGCCAGGCCAGGTGGTGGTTGTCGAGGCCAACAAAATAAATACCCTAAATATTGCATACTAAAGTAGTGTATAGTGGTAAAGGGATCGTATCCATGGAGATTGGTTCAATTTAAATCTCTATGTAAATCACTTGTTCAAGTGCTTGTAAAATAAGAGTGAAAGTAAAATGGGGGGGGGGGGTGTTTAATTCTTTTTTATTGTTTGTCAAAATTAAAAACTAGCTAGAATGTAAATATGACAAGTAAACAAGTATAAGATTTGATTAAATTCAATGAAGTGAAATTGGTTGATTTTGGGATAGACCACATGGATGACATAGTTGACTTATCATTAGACTAATTAAAGTAAACCTTGTAAATTAGTTTAACTTGGCTATAGCAATTCATAAGCACAAATTACCTCAACTCTTCATAGTTATTAAAATGGTTAGAGGAGCTGTAAACATATTTCCTTAATTAAAGTCACAAAATCATTGAAGCATGTAATCTTGTGAAAATCAATTAGCTTTAAGTTCTAAGAGTTACCAAGTCCAAAAGATAATCAAATGATTACATTATCATTATGGAGGAAACATTCCCATGGTCTAAATGAAATGAAAACAAACATATAAACCATTTGTTGCTTACTAATTTGAGGGTCCATTACTTAACCAAGAAATTAGTCAACAAAAATAAGAGTTCATTCATCAAAGCTCACGATCAAAGATAAATAAACACCA